CCCCTCTTTTCTTTTCTTTATCAATCAAAACATTTCATTTAGATATTATGTAAAAGAAAAAGAAAAAATTTATTCATAATTCAGTATTTACAAATTCCAATGTTTACAAAAGTTTTTTTAAAAAAAAAGTAACTAAATTGAATGAATGATTAATTGTATATTAATTAATTAAATAAACAATATGAGCAATTAATTAAAAGATATAGCAATATGTAAAATAACTTGTAGTTTAAGATTACTATAAGTTTGAATGAATAAGAAAGGAAAATTATATGATAGGATTGTTTAATTTTAACAATACTCTTTCATTTCATCAATAATTTTCTCATCTTAGATAATGATAAATGTTAAATGATAAATGATAAATATTGTAACAAATAGGTTAAATTTAGCGAATGAATGTTAGGAAATTTTTCTTATAAAAATATTTATATATTTATGATCAAAATGTATGTTACATTTATGATCGAAATGTTTGTATTTTTATTATTTTTACCGAAATTTTAATTTTATGTCAAAAATTTAAAATTCCCTTACGACAATTGTTTATCATTCATTTAAACAGATAAAATTAATCATTTTATTTTTAATTTAATTTCTTAATCTATTTTTGATTATTATTTAATCTTTTAAATTTCATTCCATAGTTTGTATTATTTTTTATTTATCTATAAATATGGTATCATTTAATCAACTTAAAAATTCCATCATTTATTTATTTTTATTTATTCTTTTCTTTTTTTTTTCCACTCTATTCATTTTATCACTTATTACTATAATTATCTCGTTTTATGTAAGCATTTCATATGATTTAATAGTTTAGTGTTAATTAATATTAATTTCAAATGATATATGTAAATTTGGAGTATCATCAAAAAAGGAATATTTTACAAATCATTCATTATTTTCTCGCATAATAAAATAATCCATCTGAAAAATATGTCAATTTTTTTTTTTTTTTTTCTTATATTTTTACAGATCAAGGAAGAGGTAAAAATGTGGTTTGAGGAACGAAGTTGGTCAAATCTGAAAATGTCATCAATGCTTGTAGAAGAATGGCGTGATCTATGGTCAATTAAAATTGATGTAATTGTCGCATCACTTGCGTATATTTTTGCAACAACTAATTTTCTCAATCTACCTGGATTAATACTTCAGAATGGTGGATGTAAGTTTGATTTTTATATGAAATAAGTAATTAATGTTAGTAAAATGCAGGTAGGGATTGTTTGTACAAAGGAATTGAACTGTAAATTATCGATCTACATTAATCAAATAATTGACTAGCAAATATAAATAAATAAATAAATAAATAAATAACTGTTGATGTGTCATGAAATATTGCAATAAAATAAATGATGAAATATATAAATAAGTGTGACATGATGAAATATGAATTAATTTGTAAAATTTTCCTTAAAGAAAGTATGACAACTATTATATGTACAAATAAGGAAATGTTACGTGAGTACGTGTACTAGTATGGAAATGTTACGTGAGTACGTGTACCAGTATGGAAATGTTACGTGAGTATGTATATTTGTACGTATGATGAAATAAAAAATAATTGTCTTAATAATACTCTTTAATTTTTTCTTTTTTTTCAGTAGCATTTGTTGCTGCTTACGGTACATCATTACTTGTTTGTGTTTTACCAATTATTGTAATGGAATTTTCGGTTGGTCAACTTACTGGACGAGCACCTGTTGAGGCACTTTATAACATATGTCCACTATTTAAAGGTAAGTATGAGAAGAATTTGTTTGTTTATTTTTTCTCCTTTTATGTTACCCTCGTAGCGGAATATATTACATTGACGCATATTTATCATGATTTAATCCAATTGTAATTGTCATTTGTTTACAATATCTAAATAGACAAATGACAAATGGTGATATGTCAATTGTTTAATGATCTTATTCTTTGCTCTTTTATTGAAATTGTAACTGATCCGATCTTGAATCATTCACAATTCCAATAATTTCATATCATTTCTTTGAGAAATGATCGAGTTTATTCAAATGTTTTGTTCATTACAAAAAGTATATTTCATCTGATAGCAGTGATTTAATTGATGTTAAATTTTTATTAACGATTTTAAATGAAAAGATGATATTATCAGTTATCTCGTCAAATTTTTAAGAAAATGATGATAACCTTAGTAATGTTGGATGTTGAATTGTTAAATAGTATGAATGATTATCAACCAGTTATCAATGTCTCTGTTTCTATCCCATTCAAAAAATTACTCCTTATCATTCAATTGAACAGTAGTAACATCTTACTTTACATTATCAACAATTACCTTCCAGGTGTTGGCATTGCGCAAGTTATCTTTTCCCTATTGATAATGGCACATATGACACGATATATGGCATGGCTTATGCTTTATCTATTTCATCTCTTTTGGGCTCTATTAGCTGGACGACCAGGTTGATATTTAGCATTACACTTATTTGTTTGCTAATAATGAATTAAAAGAATTTTTAATTTAAATTAATTTGCTACTTGCTATGTGTTACTTTTACAGGTCTACCATGGTTGCACTGTAGGAATTTTCCTGAACTTCAAACATTGCCATGTGAGGAAGCAGGTTCAGTGGCCAATTTTACCTATGCTAGTACGACAAAATTGAATACCTTGAATGGACACTCATCACTTGTCCAATTTATGACGTATGCTTTCGTCCTCATAAATTACATCAATCCTTCTACATATGTTTAGTTTGTTTAGTTAATTTTAATGAACATTTGCAGAATGTTAGAACGACCATCGAATAATATTGCTGAAACAGGCCATTTACAATATTACATTCTTGCTTCGATGGGAGTTGTATGGCTGTTAGTCTTCTTGGCCACTTGTTTTGGTATTCGTTGGTTAGGAAAGGTAACAATTTTATATTTGAAATTTTTGCTGAGTTACTAAAATATATGGTAAAATTAATTTTGTTTACTTGTACTTTTACTTCTAAGTGATCTCAACTATCACACAAGAAGAATTGTTGAATGTTTCCCTTTGATACTGTAATCATCATCCATTAGTAAATGAGGATTGGAATTGTCATCGATAGTTAATATTAAGGTTTTCAAATCATATGACTCTTCGCGATCTAACTTCTACAGTTTCCGATTCTAGTATTTTTTTTCCCCTTACTAATGATTTTGTATCGTAAAGAAAAAGAACCTGAAGCATTATGAGGTGTTAAATTGTTAAGCGAGTCTTAGTATACGGAATGATGAAAAGGTTATGCTGAGATTAAAAGTTAAAGATTAGTAATTACTGCAAAAGTTTCTACTCACATAAAATATTTTCACCCACACTGGGAGAAATATTAAACTTTTTATTTGCAGGTTATACATTTCACCTTTATCATGCCTGTGGTTTTATTGTGTTTACTTCTAGTACGTGCTTTAACACTTCAAGGTCTTCCGGAAATTTTGCTGAAATTTTATAAGATCACCGATTGGCAACGAATGACGGATTATCTTGTGAGTTTTTGCATTTTATTAATTTTTTAACTTTTCTAAGAGGAAAAAAAGGTGGATTTTTGATAACTGAATGGTGTTAAAAGTATGGAAGATATTTTGAAAGCATAGGTTATTACTATCACTAATTACAGTAGTGAGTGTGGTTAGACATTTGATTATTCCTTGAACTTAATTAGTGAAATTATTCTCAAGATGAGATATTTTATAGAAATTCAAATAACATCCTGAATTTTCTCCATGAAACATTAAAGACTGGAAACCCTTGTTAGATCTCAGCATATATCAGTTATTGGCTGTAGTTAATAGTGAAAACATTTGCATATCATATCTGTAAATATTGATGCCATTTTGAAACGTTCGTAACAATCAGTGAAATGAAGAAAACATTTACATTACTAAGATATTTCATCATTTGTACATATATATATATATATATGTTACTCTTCTTTTCCTTTTTTTTTCTCGTTTTATTAATTCAATTTATGTATCAAAGATGTGGAAGGCAGCTATTGAACAAGCAGTTTTTGCTACTGGAATTGGTTTTGGTACATTTATTACAATTGCTTCATATAACAAGCGGACAAACAATCTTGTTGGGTGAGTAACGATTTTTAAGTTTCACTTAATCTCTACTTCCATTATTGACCTTCAAGAAGACTATTGACCCTCTTCGCTGATAGTAGTAACCCATTACAATTATGTAGTAGTATTTTGTCCTTTCCATCAATAATAATACTTCTGAATCATTTGGCATCACGAAATTATTGAAATTTAATGGTCTTACCTTGAAACATTTATCATTTTCCTTTACTTAATTCAACTTTCAATTTTTGATTTGTTAGGTAAAGTTAAGTGGAAAAAAATCCATAAACCAAAATATTTCATTATTTCGTTTTATTTTTTCATATTACTTGTCTTTTATCTGTTCATATTACCGCATTTTCATTCACTTATTTTATTCACTGTTTATTTTTCTTATATAACTTACATGTACTTGATTTTTTACCTCCTTACTCCTGTAATTTATTTTGGAAATATGAAATCAATTCAATAATTAAGTAAACAATACTCTGTGTTATTTTAAATTGATCGATATCAAATTTTCTAACATTTCTTTCAATTTATAAAGGCGAAATTTAAAAAATAAAAATTGAAACTTCAAAAATTAAAGATTTGTAGTGATGCATGGTTAATCCTATTTGGTCATGTCGTGCTGACGCTAATACAAGTACTTGTAATACTTGGATTTCTTGGACATTTAAGTGTTCGACTTGGATTACAACCATTTGAGCTTCTTGATCGAGGTTCCTTTTACTCTCATTCTTCCATTAAAGTTTTGAAATTTTAATTTTTTTTAAATTGAATTGGTGAAAGTTATATAGAATTCTAAATTTCTTCATAAAATTCACTCTTATATGATTATCTTCGTTATCATTATCACTACAAAAAATTCATATGTTCTTTCACTTTTCGATTTTAAATTATTGTGCGGAAAAATTTTAATTTGCTACTATTCGTACAGACGGCTTCTTTGTTTTTTTTTTTTTAACTTGAAGCAAAATTTTTACAGGAGAAGCGCAAATGTGGCATATCCTTACATATATGTCATATGTACCGGATACACGAACATGGACTGCAATTCTTTTGTTTATGTGCATTTTCGTCTTACTCAATATTTTTGCAAGTTTCTATTACTATTTTCTCCTAATCTACCACACTATCTCATATCTTAGTGTCAGATTTTTAGGTTTTACTGGTTTTAGTAAGTTCAATTGATATGAATTTGTTAATGTTTGACAAAATAATAACATACATTTTCTTTTCAGTATCTTCTTACTTTGAACATATTGGCAACACTTGAAGATGCATTCGGTGAGAAATCGTCTCGATGTTTTCCACGATTTCTACTTGACCTTTTGATCTGTTGCACTGCTTTTATTGCCAGCTTTTATTTTGCTACACAGGTAAGAAGGACAAAGTGTTATATTATGAGAAATTTCAATCAGATTCCTAACCATTCAAATATTCTATCAATGTTCTGTTTGTTTAATTTGGAAATGATACAAGTAATGAACAGTTTAAACAGTCGTCATATTTATGTCACATCACAAAATCTGATTTAGCTTGAAAGGAGTTAGTTTAGTGACAAGAAACTTCTCTTCATTTTTGATCTTTAAAATAAAGGATCTCGTAAGTGATTGATTTTGATTGTTCATGCCAATTTAAACTTCGCTATGCTACCACTAATTGTTTACTTATTCAAAGGGATAAATAAGGTGAAGAGAAATTGTAAGATCACATGTAGCTCTTTTAAACTATTTATCAAATCTCGGAATAGTTCAGTGGAATTCAGGATTGGCATTTTTATTATTATAATTGGCTCACTGTGATACATTATAAGTATTGACTATAAACAAATGCTTTAAAGACGGGATAAAATTATTTCATTCATTTTTTACCACATTCACTTATGTGATGACGACTTATCTAGCCTAGATCTATTAATCAAAATCCATTCTTCCCAAATTGATAGTTCTGTAATTCGAACTTTAGTTTAAAAATATTAACAAAAGCTCAAATTTTCGAAGGATTTGAAAATTATAATTTGGAATTAAAAAAAGTAAATGGAACGATGACTTGAGTTTTCCGAATTAGAATTTTAAAATATGTATTTCTTCCTGAATGTATAAATTTTTATTAATTTTACTATGATTTTAGGGTGGTCGTTATGCATATGAGCTAGTTGGTGGCTATTTGAAATATGTGACATTGTGGATTATACTATTCTTCGAAATGCTAGCAGTTGGATGGTTCTATTGTAAGTCTTCAAAATTTATATCCTAGAGATTCATATCTATTCTTCAATATTTATATCCATTCTTCAGAACAATGATTCGAGACTCCCTGGGAAATTTATTCGATCCTTGTTTACTATACTTGTAAGGTAGATGTTTAAGAGGATAAAGGATTTTAAGAAGGATGAAATATTGCATGTATCAGTTAAATTTGACCACATTAATTCTTCTCTCTTTGACAAATTTTCTAGCGTGAAATGTTTCTGAAATTGTAGTGAAAATTGGATAAATGTAGGATTACGAACAAAATATTGGGGCAGGTGATCGTTTCGTCCTTCAAGAAAAATGCAAATAACAATGCAAGGAGTGCAGCACAATCAAAACAATGCAGTGCAAATGTTGCACTTCAAGACAGTTGAAGTGCAACATTTGTAACATGATCGAATGATCGAAATGGGTAAAGAAGTATACATTATAGGTGCACATCGTCTTGGTAAAGATTTGCATACGATGTTACGACGAGCATGCTGTTGGTGTCTTGGACATTTCATTCTCTATTTCATATATCTTCTGCCAGCTGTCCCTGTTGTAAGTTGTTGAATTTCCATCCATGTCGTCGCTTTTGTAATAAATGCACCATCTATGGCATCTTTTTAAATGTGTGTTACGATGCATATAAATGTGAAATGAAATTAAACTTAAGCAATAAATATTAAATTAAATTCAACATTGAACTAAAATTAGATTAAATTGAACATTAAATATTAAATTAAATCAAAAACCGAACATTTAAGTATCAAAGTATTAAATCTCAAATTTACTATTGAAATCCATAGTTGACAACAATAAAATGATAGTGCCTCGGAATCGACATGAAATAACTTCTGAATTTTAATTTCTGATTGGTAATGGATGTTAATTTGGGTGAAAAAAGGGGAAAATATATATTGATCTTCAGGCAATAGCTATGCTGAATTTGATTAATTATGATTACTCAGTCTATTCTTCCGGAATTCATGAATGGAAATATTCGGAAGCGCTTGGATGGGCAATAGCACTGATACCATTACTACCAATTCCGTTATTTATGCAGTTTCGAATTTGTAGGACATGTATGAAAGGACCTGGAGTGACGAAATGGCAGGTAAATATCAAAAAAATGATTTTTAATTTCAAGAATATATCAGTTATAAAAAATCTCGGGTTTAAATTTTATAGCGAAGTTTGGTGTTTTTTTTTTTGCTTCTTGTTCGAACCCCTCCATGCTACAAATCTAATTTTAATGGTTAGGAAATTTATCATTTTTTCTGCCGCTTAATTCAACTTTAATTTTCAATAATACTAGAATTACTAATACTGTGCTAATTACAGAAGTTAAAAAATGCAATATCATCTCCTTTGCATTATGAAATTATTAAGACATCACCATCATCAGCTATGCGGAGATATTCAAATGATGCACCTGGTTACATTCTTCTTCCGCAAGCTCCGCTTGCTGAACCAGAAGTTTTCAATGAGGTAATGTGAAAATCGAATTTATTTAAATAACATTTAAGTTACATTTCAAAATTAACCAAAAATAGCATACAAATTTTCGAATTTAATTCAAAAGTATTGCATACAGTTCCTACCTTCTATTAACCTGGCTTGGAATAAATTACACGTCACTTGATTCGTTGTCTTGCTTTTTTTTGGTTTAAAATTTTCAATTTTAATTAATAAATTGATACTTCAGAATCGATCATAAGCAGGATGAGCATGATGACGATTCCCAACATTCTATCATTTATTATGTTATATACCAAGGGTATAATCTTAAAACTGCCAAAGTTATTTTGCTACTATTATACGTTTCTCTTTTTTTTTTTATCATATTCTTTTGTTGTAAATAATTGTGTTTACAGTATGCTTAATTTCAATCTTATAAATATTTGTGATTGTATTATCAGTTAATCCTTTGAAAATGTTCATAAAAGAAATACTGCCATCAGAATCGACTATATCTTCTCGAAAATACAAATAAAATCCATATTTTCAAACATTTAAAAAAATAAAATCTTCAAATTATTTCCAAACGGGAATATTCATTCAATCATTTTTTCTACAAAAATTTGATGGAATCTCCACCAAACAATCACCACTTGTTTTAATCAGTTCACCAGCATCCTAATAATGTATATGGAAATCCCGTCTATTTCCCAAATACTGTATCATACGAAATACACTTCATCATCTGTTTTCCCTCTGTGATCTTACTTCTGAAGAATCATTTATCCACTTTTTTTTAATTTCGGCGAAAAACTGACGAAGATGTAGTTGCTTGAAATGTTCTGTTGATGAAGTGTAACTTTCGAAAGTTTCGATTTGATATCATTGTTCGGATACATTTCGATTGTAAAAGAATATAAAATGCTGTGAAATGATATGCCATTCTTTATTTTACCTCCTTTTGTACTTCTTTTCAGTGAAAATGAAATATTTGTTAGGAAAACAAACAAAACATTACTGAATGCTTTGTTGAAGATATATGCATTCAAACACAGGAATATAAAAAATATATTAGTCAAGTTTTTCTTATCATATTTTAAAATAGTAAAGGCTATCCATAGGAATTTCATTTGTTCAACAAAAACGAATCCAAAAAGGTAAACCGACAAGAATACTTATCTGCATAACTATCAGTATATATGTACTCCACACCGCCAAGAAATATCTATTTGCTTCGCAGAAAGGATTATAAAAATGATAAGCGATAAGGAACCGCCAAGGACTTACTTGTCCGACAACAATGCGATTACCTGCTCAGCAATTATCACAGTGAAGTCCTAAAATGACCTCCTTAAATGCTGAAATCCACTACCGTGGAGATATCCATCTAACAAGGCCATCAATTACCGTACGGATTCAATGGAGTAGTTCAACAAAGAGATTCATATAATCAATGCAAACAGGAAGTGATCTAAATAATTATAGAGATCTCGATGTTTAACGATGTTGTATATCATCTCAAACGCGCCTCTTATGCCAGATTTCTCATCGCCTTGTGAAACATACTATTTTGAAAGGATGGAATGGAAATTCTTTTCTCCCTCTTCATTTCTTCCTAATTTTGGCCATATGCAGGACCGACATGGAATAAGTTCCGGGTTGACAGAAAATGGCGTGTATAATATAGGTATTCTGATCAAAATGTAGTAAAATACGTACAAATTTCAACAAAAAGGAGGAATGGCATAGGCTTCTGCAAAACAAGAGATCTGCAAGCAATAATAAATTACATATAAAGAGCATTAGGTTCATTTGGATCAAATATTTGTGGTGCAGTACGATAAAGATACTGAAGTACAGGTATACATTGCGGCTCGTTTTTTACAATTGAAACAACTGTTCGAAAAACGCTAACTGTTTTATTGTATAACCAAGGTCCGCTTTCGGCTGTTTTCACTCCTTCCTGTAATAACAATCCGACAATCACCAATATTTAGGTTGAAAAAAGAATGAAAGAATAACTAAAAATAAGACAAACCGTATTTTCAGGAAGGAAATCAGAGCCTCTGTATTTAGTGAGAGAAATCTTCAAAATTTATAGTTCAAAAAAAGAAACATTCGACATAGCATGGTACCTATACTGACACCATTGTTTCATGTCACACTATTTCCCATTTCAGTTTGTTTATTATAAGGGAAAATGGGTATATTACCAAACTACTTGATCCTTCATCCGCTACTTACAATACTGCGGAGAAATCAATGCACTCCAGATTATATCAAGCCTTGCCTTCTCCTCTTTAGCTTTTCTCAATCAATATTTTCATTTTTACAAAGTAAACACGCCATCACCTTGAGATCTGAACAGAAACGGTCATGTTCTTTCTTATCCTTTACTAATAGACCCAGTAATGTATGTCCGTCGTCAGAGCTCACATTCCAGCAATTATTGTAATTTTAAAAAGCAGACAAATTTTCAGTAACTATCACCACGAACGTTATTTCCCTTAAGATGAATGCAACTGCTATGGGCACTTTTTGGCTCTTTATCATGAACTGCAAATGAACTAACGTTTATCAAGGCCAAAAAATAAGTCGTAAATTCGTTCACTCCACTACGCAAGCGTGCTGGAATCTTTGGCAATAATGCATCCAAACTTCTAAAACTTTCACTGCCAGTTATCGAGTTTTAATTGATAAATCGAGCAACATAATTAAATAAGATTATCTACGTTAAATATTTAAGTGAAAATGAAATCATTACATGCAGTACAAGATACAAAAAACTTAAGTTATAGATACAATCTAAATTGTGAAAGACACAAAAAAAGACAAAACCTCTTAATGAAAGTGACTTTCTGAGCTGTATCACTATCCATAGCTCTCAGCTGAAACGCTGCCATATATACTGGATCAGCAAAAATTGGTTGCAAAGATTCACTGGCTGAAATAAACATTCTGGCTGAGATAATTAAGGCCTCAATTAAGGAACATTTCAGTTATCAGCAACATCAATCTGAAGGAGGCTCTATTATGTATTTACTCTCCTACACAAGACTAAAATGAACTAAATGGAAATGTCTGTACAAAAGTACAATGGAAAAGAGTAGCTGCTTTAACCATGGGGTAAAAAAATGACAAACAACGAGACAAATGCAAATACTCTTGAAACTATTGTAGCAGGAAATGAAGCATCGGTAAAAACGGCAAGGTTGTTATATTGTCACTACTTTCCTCTGTCATCTAAATTTAGGCGGTGAAGATAAATGGTTGGTGATAAGTGGAAAAAAATTTTCTTTAGCGAATATGATGGAACATTTCAGAAAGCAGCATTTGATAACAATAACAGATTATTCTTGCCGTTACAACACTAATACTATCATCAAAGTCCAGGTAGTGTTAATCAATCTGCCTAATAGCAAGTTAAATCCAATATTTGAATAGATAGGATTTATAGCCAATGTGCTATAAATTTCATTTTTCCTTAGCATCTAACCTTGTTCACGCAACAAAACCATGTCCGTTCGTATTTGTTCCATGAAATTACCATATACTCCTCTGCTTGGATTTACTTTCTCTCGTTCGTAATCTTCCCAAGCTTCTTTACATTCCTGAAATGCTTTCATTCGAACTTATCACTTGCAACAATTTTTCAAAATGTTTTTAAGAAATTGAACCTTCGAGTGAGAAGATAATTGTTGTTATTAGAATATCCCACATAAGAAAGCTATCTAAATAGATGAAAGGATTGTGTTTCAGACTGACGTCACAACAATCATTACAACAGAGATTATTAAGTGGATTTACAAATTAAATAATGGGAAGATGGCTAAAGATAAAGCAAAAATAACTAAAAGATGTGGGGAAGTATTAAGATTTTGAAAAAAGGATGGGGGTGTAATTACTACCTAGATAAAAAACATTGCATTCGTCTAAAGCCACTGATAAGGTCTGAGCGGTTATGAAGGGGATCACATGTAGGCTGATAACAGTTCCCCCTTTTTCTTTCATTTTTCTTTTAACTCTTCCTCAGTTGTATAGCTGATCTAGGAGAAAAATATTTTACAAACTCTTAGGTTTTACCTGAACAGTATGACTAACCAGTTCAGATCTAAAATATTTGATAAATTACGTAAATTACTCATTTTGAGTCAAAAAAACTGCATAAAAAAGCAATTTAAAAAAATAAAGCAAAGATAAATTAAGAATATGTTTCTCAAATCTATGATTTGAACAAAAAGGTCATGATCAAACGCACAAGAAATAAAAGTTTTTCCTTTTGGAGTTTTATAATTTTGAGCAAATAATAAATTCACCTGGTCAGTAAGTTTTTCTTCTTCCAAGTTCTTGAATAATGAATCATGCTGAATGTAATTCACAATGCAGTCACCGTGCGACAAAATGATATCCGCTAATAAGCGATCCTAAGCATACATAAAAATTAATTTTCTACCAAATTCCTGATCAAAACAAAAAACAGTACGTCGCTCTGAAGAATGCGAAAGATTCTCTATCCTCATAAAATATTCTCATGACCTAAACCTAAGAAATTATTCATTTTGTCTTGGAAAATCATACTTTTGGCGGTGCCATCAACGGCCTTTTTGGTACATTTTGCGTATCGTCCAATTCATCCGGATCAAACTTGTATAATTCCAGTAAGTCATGACCAGCAAAATGCCGCTCAATTTGTGCCTCATCCACAACACGCATCGATGTTGACTCTTTAGTAACCTGACGTTTGTAAATTCGTTCTTCCATTGTTCCCTGAAAAAAAAAAAAAAGAAAACAGATATTTCATTGGATAATGAAACTGGATTTGAAATTTCCAGGAACAGATACAAAGAGATCATACATGTAGAGGCAAGACGATATGCTATTTCTAAAGAATAGTATGAGAGGAAGGGTTTAAGGGTTTCAATTTCCAAATATTTGAAATCTTGGTGATTTTTGAAAATAAAGGAATGAGCTTGAAAATTCAGCAGCAAAATAATGCTTCGCTCAAAAAAGAACTTGAAAGCAACAGTTACCTGAGCAATGAACCGATAAATGTATACGGGTTTTGTTTGCCCAAATCTGTATACACGAAATAAAGACTGTGTGTCATGTGATGGATTCCAGCAGGCGTCAAAAATAACAACTCGATTTGCAGCAACCATATTGGTTCCCAGTGAACCAGCACGTGTAGAAATAAGCATCAAACGGGCACTACAAAAAATTGGGAGTTAGAATTTAAGAATTTATTAAGGTTCGTGGTAAATGTAAAATTATGTAGAAAGACAATTTGAATCAGGATTCTACTATTTAATCATTGAATAAGACTTTCCAATGGTGTTCATTACGACAGTCAAGAAGAGTGAAAACTGATATTTCAATTAATATTCAAAAAAGAAATTCCTCTCATATATGCATTAAAAATCGTTTCAATATACCGCAAATTGTTTGGGTCATTAAATTTTGTTTGTATTTCGTGCCGTTTACTGGTTTGTACTTGTCCATCGATCACCTAAATATTTAAGGATTATTTATAGATTAGATGGAAATCGGATAAGTGCAATTTACATGAAAATTCTGTGAGACTCGGCGTATGACAATGGAAAAAAGTGCTCATAAAATGGTACAAAGATCAGTTAATGTCAGCACACGTAAAATATACTCGTCAAGATGTCAAGCAGAACAGAAACATATGCTGCTCTAATCACTGGCAATGTACCATCTGCTTCACTAACAGAGAATGAAGCAGTGACGACTAGAACCATTGACCGTTTAGTAACATTGTTATCGATAGATGCGTTGCATTCAATGATAACTGAGCTACTGACGCAACAAAACCATATCCAATGTCAAACAAACCAGTTACGAATTACAATTTTTCAAAGATTACAAACCATATAATCGCGCCCTTCTCTCCAACCCCAACTTTCCTTTGCTGCTTTCATTGCTTCATGGCCATCTGTAAACCACGCATCATTCTCATCCATATATTGCAACATTCGTTTAATCAACGAAATTGATTCGATACTTTGTGAGAATACCAATCTAAACATAATAGCATAAAATAAAAATCAAACCAAAAAGATTTGCAGAAATATTTCTAGTATCAAAAACAGAACGGCCAAACTATTGAAGACAGAGCAGGAAAAATTTCAGTACATCATAACATACCGAAACAACTCTCCTGTGAGACTGGTATTACCAGAACAGAACTGTACTTTAACTTCACTGTGTAAAGATTAAAAAAACTTACAGTTTATCCCCAATTTCTTCACTTTTTTTGATAATTTCAACTAGCAGCATGAGTTTATTACTAAGTGAAAAATCGTTTCGATCTGCTTCCGTGACTAAACCCGTTTTGGTGAACCATTCTTCATATTCTGGCATAATTTCTTTCCCTTCCTCTGCATCTTCACCCGCCAGTCGGCGTGACTTCCGTGCTGGTACCACTGGTCTATTGCTTGTTTCAGGCTGATCATTGTTATCTCTGCGGAAATATTTTGTAATTATATTGAAAGAAAGTTCAGAAATAAGAGACTAATATCGCACTTGACTTATTCTAAAGAATTGTTTGCTTTTCAAAGGAATGAAAATAGGTTTTTCCGTATTCGCAATTCGCTTTAAAAAAAAAAGAAAACAAACTTTTCTTCCCAGAACATTCTTCAAGGAAAGGAGTTTGAAAAGAAGAGGAAGGATAAAAGACGTCCTTAAAGAAAAATTACACTTTTCACTCTCTTATTACCTTTACAGTAGAAACTCACAAAGGAATAACGTCATCGTCCGAATCAACTTCTGATGATGTTTCGCTTCCATCATCATTAATGAAATCCGCCATTTCATCCCTATCATCCTCCCAAAGACGCTATAAATAATAATTTCTGTGGATAAATGTTATAAAAACGGTAGAAACATTCAACGAAAGTCAAGGTATTCATTTTCAAAATTCATATCAAAATTAAAAAAGTACCTTCTTCTCAAGTTCAATTTGATGAGCAATAAGTTGATATGGATGAGTCCAAATACGTGACAGCACATGATAATCGGGAAGGAGTCGCCTGCTTAACAGGATACCTTCTGGACCTATACCGTCAAGAAATGTACGATACAATGATATCTGACGAGGCGTCAAACGAACGTTCACTACGTATTCTTGTTTCGGGGGAATAGCTTCTGTCAACACTCGGTAATCCTTACGCTAGAAATACGAAAGTACATATAGTAACTTTGACATTTATTAGTTAAATGTTTATTTTAATACTTCCGGTCGTTTTGAGAAATCATGAACTGTGGTAATATGTTATAATCTAGTCATCTAATCTTCAGACCTTATCAACCAATTCAGTTTTATAAACCGTGATATCAGTATGTGGAAGTAGCAGGACCTGAAACGCAATCATGCTTTCACAGCAAAGTCACAATAAAACATATAACATTTGGGTAAACTTACATCAACAACATTTTTGAGATGTTCATATAGAACGTGACAGCGTTTCTTCATATGACGAACTTCTGCTGGTGTTGCATCTTTAGTTCTTCCACGATTAATGATATTTACAAAACGATTTGCAAATTCTGTTTTGGTACCCAGTAAGCCTGGTTTGACAAAATTTACCATGCAATGATCTATAAATATAATTCAATATCGCTCCATCAAACTGCACTATTAAGCTAAGTTTTCTATATTACAACTAATTTAGGATAGCATTAGATCTTGTTAGAGATAAAAAAAAAATTGATTCCAGTTCAGGTATATGATGAAATGTAAAATGAAGCTTGACACTTAACTATTAACTCACAACATTCAAAACTATTTGCTCTCAAATTTATATCGTGTGATTTAACTTCATCACATCGTTTTTTTGCTGGATGGGATATGATCCGTGAGAGGAGAGTAACGTAAGAATTTTAGCCATATGTTTCCTGAACTGTGGCAAAAATTGCAAAAAGTACACTCAAAAATATTAGTTTAAATAAAACTTCGACAAACTTACATTCCATAAGATTATTCTGAAGCGGTGTTCCGGTCAAGCACAAACGTCGTTTCGTACGAATTTTTAACATAGTCTTTGCAAGAGCTGAATCGTCATTTTTTCAATTTATGAGCTTCGTCGCAAATAATCAAGTCTGGGCCTGAATTTTTCAAGTTTCAAATATGACAAACTATGAAAATATGAATCAGTAACAAATCACTGGTACACTCGCAATTACAGTGCACCAGGTAAACATCCTGTTATTCAAAAAATTATCTGGAAAGGCAATAATAGATTCAGCTCTGAGCTATCACTCAAAAAACAACATTAACCAGGGTCCTGAAGGAACTTCCGGAAATCCGGTTGCATTTTGGCCAGCTTTTTATTCTTCGTTGTTTTCTTCATCCCATCAATTCTTTTCTTGCCCTGCAAATTCATTTCGCTCTGAATTCAGTACCGAATCCATATAAACCACTGAGACCTCTCCTTTCAAACTTTTTTTGAAAAATACCCAACATTGATTGCTGTACTTACTTTATCATCATCGCCTTGTGTTAAGATTCTGAACATGTCATAACCAATAATCATCACTGATGGCTCGTCATTTTCGAACCAGTTTTGTAACGCCAACCGTCTGTTGGTGTAGTCCTTCAAGGAATCTAATTCCATAATCTGAAATAAAAAGGTTATGCTAGGAAAAATGGCATCCAGTCATCGTACAAAATTCTTTGTGCTAGATTTTCAAAGCATATGCATTTGATTTTTAAAATATAAACAATAACTAAGATACAAAATTCCTTTTTTTCCGTACCCTGTGCATCGTGTTATCATTTGGTTTTATTCTTGCAACTGAAGGAGAGGTTGGGGAAAAACAATAGACAAACATGGAAACTTCTAAATTTTAAACGAGATTGGAAGCCTAAAATAAAAACCAGACTCAGAGTCACTAACAAGTGTGAAGAAGTGATCGCCCTGTGTCTTTTCACTTCATTTCCACTTTTTTTCAATTGTCACCTAGTTCTTTCGCCTTCACTGACTTAATTAGAATATCGACCAAGATTTGGATCTCAAGAACTGAACAAAATGATGATTTTATAATTGTCAAAATTTTTCTAAATCCAAAGTGAGAAAATCGGTTCTAAAAACTAATAACAATAACATTAATCGTGGCCAAATCTCTATCGACATCTTCATTATCAAGCCATTTCTCGAATTCATTGTACCAATTTAATACGACATTTTTGGGCACAATAATTAAGATACGTTTGAGGTGAACACATAACTTCGGGTGCATCATTACAGTGTGCAAGAAAGCGATTACCTAAAATGCTTTTTAATAGAACATCCATCTAAATAAAACGTATTATATTTACGATGAAAATTCGAAGCGAGACTGCATGTTTCATGTACAATGTTTACTGCCATCTTAACAAATGGATAAGTCCCTCTGAGTGACTATACTGATAATGTTATAAAATTTTTTCGAGGAATTCGAAGACGTACTTGAATTCTGTGGCTTAAATTAACGCCGAGCAAAAGTTGCACAGAATGGTTAAATAGTTACAATGATCTTAGTGACAAGAAAAACCTAGGAAACATGAGCTATAATGAAATGAAACTTTGCTAAATGTGCTCTCGAAAAACAATATGATTAAAACATTTAAAAAATGAAACATTAACCAAATGTTTCGAAAGTTCTTTAAAACTTGGTCCATGTTAATGTTTTGATCATCACCATCTATCGTAAATTTATCACAGAAATGATAATAACCTGTAATGTTTTACCCAAGCCCATGCAGTGAGCAAGGATACCGCCACCGCCATCCTGCTCCAATCGCTCCAGTGATTCGATGGAACTGTCATACAAAAACTGGATACCCTTAGCTTGATGAGGCTTCAAGAATGCGACCAATGACGGATGTACGGATACTGGACACGGTGGACTGCCTTTTTTATCAGGGTCGAGGACAACGCTTTTTAAACGCTGGTGTTTTGCGATCTGTGACGAAGAACTCAGCGCAGTCGCCAAGTCTGGTCCATCGGCCAGCTCGATTCCATTGAACTGAATTATTAATACTCTAAGCATTAGACAATTTAAATATAAAAATAATTGGTCAATAATTGATAATAAATATCTCTGCTTAAGGGCTCCGAATAAGATTTTTGTTGCATATTATTTCTCATCAGATGAGAAAGTAAAAAAAAGTGATAAATAAACATAGTTTAACAAAATTCAATATGACGAAGATTTTTTCGAGAATTTTTTCAAAGTCCCTTTTGTTCAGAGAGTTTCTGAAATAATTAGTAAATAACTCGCTGAACAAATTGCTGAACTTCAGCTAAAACGATGATATGAAATTCAAGCTAAGAGACAATCAAAGGGTGTTTAAATAACAAAATAATCTTGAAAAAAGAATTAAAAATAAAGCCTCATAAAGCATCTATGTAGTTCGGTTATAAACACTATGAACTTACGCTAGGCGGAAAGCATGCAATACTTGCAATTTTATTTACATTTTTAATTTCATATCAGTATCAACGGGCTATATGTTTTCTATTTACAACAGAATTTGTTTTATCATACAAACAGACGAAATCAGTGGGTTAAAAACATCCTACCTCTTTCTGTTTTGCTTCCAAACGTTTCCTTCGTTCTTTTTCTGCAAATTCAGCGTCGATTGTATCCTTTTGTAATCGCTCTTTAGTCATAATTTTTCGAGTGCCTCTTTTGTTCGGCAATTTTTTGCTCATCTCATTTTCCTCATCTTCTGATGAATTGTCATCATCTCCTTCCTCTTCATCTTCCCCATCATCATCATCAATGCGAATACGCTTTCGCTTCGGTCTAAAAATATCAAAATTTTCCCGTAATATAAGTTAAGTAGCAAACACATAAATTAAATTAATTTTCAGAACCAAATACGGAATTTTGAACTTTCCCTATGCACTTTTTCGACAATTTCCTTACAACATATTCAAGAATAAGAAACCAGATAAACTTTACGCACGTGTTTTTGCCTTTACGCGATTTTTTCGACTTTTTACTGCCATTCTCATCACTTGAACTGGGTAGTTCAATATTACTGTTAGTATCAACTACTTCAGCAATTATACTATCATCAGTATCCGATCCCATAGTATTAAAGGAAGTTTCCGAATCCGAAGAATGTATTTGTTTTCGCCTGTGAAACAAGATGACTAAGAACATCGAATTTTAGCTAATAGTTCGAGGACAAATTGCAAAATTATGATGGTGAATATCAGAGAATTTCTAGGAAAATGGATAAAATGAATTACTTAGAAATCGGTCCATTTTCCTTTCTATCATAAAATGGCATCTGATGAAAGTAATACTTGGTGAATAATCCTTACTTTCTGTTTTTTTTCTCTTATCCACTTCGATATCTTTAATAATTTCTTCTGGTCTTTTTTCTTCTTTTTCACTATCGGTTGATTCCATCTCGCTATCGCTCAGCACCACACGCTTGCTTAGAAGACGATCTTTTTTAAGACTACCACTCTAAGAAAAGACAATTCTAAAGGAAAAAATATTGAAATACCATGCTTCATTACCTCTAATCCTTTAAGGAAGCATAACTAGAATGTTATATCATTGCTTTTTATAATGTTAAAGTATCAGTAAGCATAAAAACAAGAGGTTCCAGATCAATATACATGACCCTATGTTGGTCGAATAATTTCAAGCGATATAGACTACTATTTCCATCCTACCCAGCAGATGGCAATTGAAAAGCAACAATATGCTGATGTGGTTCAGGATAGTTGCATATCGGTAATATCGAAGTTGTGGCACTGATTTTCTAACGGTATCATTAAAACAGAATAGTGTAATATCTGAATATATATTCTATCCATTTAAATATCTGAATTAGGAAAGAAAAGATAGTACACTATTTTAGACTTCACAGAACCTTTACCATTGCTTGGCGGAATGTTGGAAATACCAGCAAGTTGAGTGTAGTGTAATAGGTAATGAGGCTAGCCGTATCAGACTATTTATCTGACATCCATGAAAATAGAAAAAGTATTAGTCAAAGACCGTTTACAAATAGTAGGTAATCCATTTCTCCCAACCTCTTAATAAAGCTCAAATACTTCCGCGAAACACCCCTACAATTTCAATTTTTTTTAAAGAGATTGAACTGAATAACAAGGAAAACCTCGCATCTTTTGTTCAATCTTCTTACTCCTTCTTGGACTAATACTTTTTCTACTTTCAGGAATGTCAAATAAGTAGTCTTCTCAGTAAAGCAGTAGCGTGTCTTATCCGCCACCAAAAAGTAATAACAAACCATTTTCGGCACGTTATCACTTGAAGCTTCCTCTTTAGCACAAGTGACAGCATCTGAATTACACGCTACTCTGAAATACAAAAGTTTCATTTACTGAATTCATTGAAAATTAAAAAAATTCCCACTAATTTTTCATGGAAAACCAATGATTTTTCTTAAAAAATTTATTAGAAGGAAGAAAGTCGACATAAATGATTTCACTTACTTATTTTTACTTGTAGCGTTGCGCTTCGGTTCATCAGTGCTTATGCCACGACCATAAAATTTGCTGTGTTTGATTTGTGATTTAGAACGAGGTGTCATTTCTTTATCTTCCTTGCTTTCCTTTACCTCTTTCACATCATCCTTAAAAATTAAGGGATCAGCAATATTAACAAAGTATCTATAAACAAACTAATTTTAACGGCTGATGTTAAAATTTAACAATTTGCGATATCAACAGCAATAACAGATAACCTATTTTCAAGGTAATTGAATTATTGAATTACTGAAAAATAGATTATTCTATTTTTGTACCAGCAAATGCCTGTATTTATATTCCTTCATCTAAAAGGCACTCCATCCTCAAATTGTATACAGAGGGAAGGACTTCACAAAAAAGCGAAATTTGGATGAACTCAATATCATTACCTTTTTGTGATAGGCTTATTAACCAGGTGGAAAAAAGAAAGCAAGGTTTATTGGAATAACAAATAATATTTCGAGCTATGAATAATAAAGATGCTTTTGCACACATTCTCAGTACTTCATTTTTTCAGCAAGACTAAACGTACCCCACTATGATCCGTCTCAACATAGTCATATTCATGAACGTCCCCATCCACAACACTCTTTGCGGAACTGTTTCGAGCGTATGATTTGGAATTTCTTGTCTTCTGTTCTTTATTTCTGAGTAACATAGTACCAGTCCTCAATAGGAAATCGGCTTCAGAATTTGATCCATCCGAACTAACCACCTCATCCGCTTTCTCATACGCAGTCTGAAATACAGATTACAGCGAAATAGTGACGGCTGAAATACACTGAGGTTTATTTTTCTATAAAGTCAGTACTTCTCCGAAAACATCAAACTTCCAAGTTCACTAACTCTTATCTCCTTCTTACCTTTTTTAAAACAACCTTACCAGTTCTATGATGCTTCGTACAACTTCAATTAAAATGTAAGTTCAAATACACCTTCTGCAAAGAATCCATCACTTCCCTCAGCTCTGGATCGTTATCACATTGAACCACTTCGATATATGATGGACAAACACCATATTCTTTTAAAACCTAAAACAAATCGGCTTATATCATTATGAATTTTATTCTGTTTCAATCAATAGAATTCGCACTCCGACCCATTTGTGATTATATAGTTGTTTATTTCACTTCTTATCACTAACACAATAATTATTTTCACTGGAATCTTAAGAAGTTGTATAAATGCGATAACGTCAGCATGTACATGTAACCACTTTTACAGTATGCAACCATCTTTTCTTAAATTTTCTTAGTTCCGATCTATTATCCCTATAACGTATGTGTCTGCGATCATAGTGGTGAGAGTTAAATGATAGCGCCATCTTTGTTGTCACCAATTAACCTCGTGTGACTTTTCATCATTCATTTTGAGGGAGTTTTACTTTATATTTATGGCTTATTCTAGTTTTCTGATCTAACTCAATTTCATCATAATTTACTTTCAAATCTTCGTCGGTGAAATCTTCAGCACCAATAAAATCAATATGTTCTTCCGTTACGTCTTTTCCTTCTGCAAATAGAAAAATAATATATCGAAATCTAGCTTGAAATCTGACAAAATAATTCCCTAATCTACAAGTGAGCATTTTCTCAATAATTCATGAACAGGACAAACCTTTGAATGAATTTCTATCACCAAAACAAATAATAAACCAACCTTCATCGCAGGTTTCTCTTCCTGAGCTTCCCTGCAAAGAAGCAGATTTTGATAAACCGCACCGATCAACAATCTCAGCGGTATCAGAATTCTGCAATGATACTTGCACATTATCAGTTGAAGCCCTTTAGAAGCAATTCAACCAATCAACATTTCTAGACAACAATGAGATGGTATTTAAAACTGTCAGGAAATTCGAATTCATCATAAGTTGATGGATCAACAGTATCACTGCAACTCTCAGATTTATTTTTCAATGATCCAATTAGATATGCAGTGCATAAATTTAAAAACGATAAAGAAAAAATTGAAAAAGAAAAAGACTGTCAGGTAAGAGACAGTTTTCCATTTAGTTGCGTGTGTCAAAAAATTTCATGGCAGTTGACCTCTAAAATTTGGTAAAAGTGATAAAGGCTTAAACGTGTTCTTTAATTTATATAAGCTTTCGAGGATATTTGGGTTTAAAACTCAAATATCTGAATGCTTTGATAAAAAAACAAATATAAACCAGTACTGTGGTTGAGAATTTTCACTAGAATACAATATAAATTGGAAAAATATACATTGCTTTTGCCTGGTTTTATCAGGTCAGTTACCAATTATGCCATCAAAATTTATTGGTCAAGTAAGCGAAGAGAGAAGATTGAAAAGTTAAGGTAAGTAGGTGGATGTCATCGACACAAGAGCAAGCAGATGAAACAAAAGTACAGATAAGCACTACTTCACCGGATCGAAATCCTCATCGAGTTTCATAACTCGATTGCATGTATTGAGGCGCAGTGCAACATGTAAAATATCAGTTGAACTATAATAAGTAATTTTGGCAAATCTAAGGAAGCAATCTGATAAGGTGTCTTATTCACTAGCGGTATAAATATGCATCAAAAGCCTAGTCATAAAAGGATTAACGAGTGCCAGCCCTAATTTACGCACTTATCGACTTGTCATAGGTGATTTCAGCCATGTATCTTCATTGCTAACTTCAGGCTTCCGAGAACATATCTCGCTATAAAAGCTTCAGGTAAGGGAATATCTCGTGTTAGTTGTCCATCTTATAGTTAAACAAATTTTGGTAAAGGATTAACTTGCAAGCAGCGCACTAAAGTTTCTTGCTTCTCTTCTTTACATGATAAAAATAATCAAAAATAACCACATTAGTTTTACTTGGTTCTTACAGGCTTTACTCTAAGGATCATTCATGGATACTGTAGTGGTCTGAATAATTAACTAAATTATTTGCTTTCACCAAATTGCTTACTAAATTGTTTAGTCCAAAAACAATCGAATTTTACGGCATTAAAACTTTGAAAATTATTAGAAAATGGAAAATTAAAACTTCACATTCAAAATTTTTTTCATAAAAATGAAAAAGATATCCATATATTTTTCAAAAAGAGTTGAAATAAAACAAAAAGAAAAGTGGAAATTTTTCGAATTCCTTACCAATTCCACTATTTCATCGTCGCCCGGCATTTCTGAATTACCTGATTTATCTTTGCTTTGTCTAATATTTTCTTCCATAATTTCGAGATCTTCAATGTCTCTTTCAGTTTCCTCACTAGTGCCATTATGCAACTCATCACACTCCATTATCGTATTTTCATCACTTTCATCATTTGACTTGCCAACTTCGTCGCTACATCTATCAGATCATTCTTTTTATTCAAATTCAGTACTGTGACGTCCCAGCTATTTGTAGCTGATTTCGTCCTGTTTTCAGGATTTTTCAATTTTTGATACAAATTATGGCAGCCATCCAAGGTTACCCTGGATTTAAAAGAGAGAGAAACAAAGAAAACCTTATACTGCATGATATAACACTAATGTGCTTAGCTGTAATACAACGAAATTGGAGGTTCGTGAGATATATGGTTGGGAAAGACGGTGGAAAACTTTAAAAAAGGAAAAAAAAACAAAGGTACGGAAAACAGCATTTTAGATATCCCTTTTTATTCGTTAAAACATGTCTCCTTGCGAAAATGTAACCACATATGATGCATGGCCATCGACCTATTCTTTTATGACAAGATACTAAGTGACAAAGACTGAAATGCAATGAATTGAAAAAATGAACTTTTTCTCAGTTCATTATACGCATATCTTTTTTATTTCTTCGGTTTTCTCAGTTCAATGAATTTTTTCAATTCATTATACTTCATATCCTTCTCATTTTTTTATTCAGTTATATGTCTGATTGATATCATACTTGCACTGTAATGTAAATAATTTAGAGATGAGAAAAATATTTGAAATGTTAGATTTTAATTTCTTCTGATCAAATAAACTAAATTAAAAACCTGCTGCAGTTATCGCTGAAATGACTATTTGCTACGTCGTTACGTGAATTTTCCAGTGTTTTTATAATTGCATCCATTTGTTGAATAAAAGATTTTGTATGTTCCCGGAGAACAACCGTGTAATCTTCTGAATCATTCCCAGTATCGTACGTAAATAATGTTTGACGAATCTATAATTTCTTCATTAAAATAAAAAGGAGTTAAATAAAAAAATTGTCAGCAAAATTGAACTATTAGACTTTTATGATCAGCTAGAAAAGATGTTATTCGTGAAATAGTATAATCAGGTTTAAACTAAACGTTACAAAATAATGCTTTATTGATAATCACAACATGTGAATAATAATCATGAAGTATGAATTGAGGACAAGATGAAATATACAGATTGAAATTCAAAAAAAAAAAAAAAGAAAAGAGCATAATATTAACATTGCTGAAGAAACAATATACAATGTTAGTCATTTCCGAGATGTTTATGCTCAGCCCTATCCGAGTATAGTTGCGTCATCAAGTTTAAGATCCGCTGTGTTTGTTCGAATAGTTACGCCATCATCTGCACTGGATATATCAACGTAGCTCTAGTATTCTGAACTGTGCTTCTATGAATCAATTGTAAACCACTTCGACAATGATACCAAATATTTAAATATTAAACATAAGATATGAAATGTTACACATAAAGCCGTGCAAAAAAGTGAAAAACGAAAATCATAAATGGAAATCGAAGATTTCTACCATTTCTAGAAATGACTGAATTTTGGGAGATTATACAGAGAACTGAATATCTATGTATCCAACACAAGAACTACTTGGAAATAACCTGGGCCAAAATCTCCCAACGGTTTCAATCTAATGGTTCACAATTAACATGCTAAATACGGCTAAATGATGAACAAGACCAAACAGCCGTCCTTCTTTTCAAACCCATCCTCTAGTAAAATTAGAAGCTAGATTGTCAATGGAGCAAATATTTCTATAAAGTGGTATTATCAGTCGATTTTTCATTCTCTACACAGTAAATTCCATATGCTTATCATTAAATTTTGATCTTACTACATCTTCTCAATAGGAATTTTTGTATGCCATATTTTTATCGAAAACCATTCCAAATGTTGGATTCAAAATAGAAAAAAGAGAATAAAACGGTATCAAAAGAATATTAATCACATTTAATACATTTTTCTTCTCCAAAAAAAGTTAATGATTTAAAAAATTAGGAAATGATTAAATACAGATAGATCGGCTAGCCTTATTTAATTGGTCCAAACTATCAGTGAGTGTCGCACTGATTAAATTGATGGAATTGACCAAATTATCGAATCCATTCGGAAGGACAGAGAAACCATTTACTGCACTCATAACCAGCTGAGAAATAATGTTCAATCGCTAGAAAACAGAGTAAAGTTTTCACAATTTTTCCGGATTCCTCATAGCAAGACACACCTAAAACACCAAAAAAATTTCACGTCAACTTTGGCATATCTAAAAATTGACCTGCGTGATCGATTATCAGTGTACGATGACATAAAATGATGAACTAGGAAGATTCTAGGTCACATTTCTGGGTATTGCTTTACTCACAAATAAAACTTGTCTCTTCTAGATAATTTGCAGAAATTAGAAGGTGAATCATGATTGAAGTTTAATCCTTCTCGAATGCGATGGCATTAAAAAAATAGAAACCCTGGTCACGTTTAATATTATCTATACATTATTCATTGGATTTTGATAGATTCGCTTGTTCTGAAATGTCACACAAAAAATCAGATGTATTGAACGAAGTGAATCACATCTTATATCATGAGGTGCTTTTCATGTCTGATCTGGTAGCAATGCATTTCTAGAAGATGTGCTGCATCGAATTATCACCAAACTGAGATCAAATGAACATACCATTTTTTTCAGAATCTTTCCATGAAAGAAGGGCCAAGAATCAAAGATTACCGCTACTTTAGTTAGTTTCGAACCATTTGTTAACCTAAGGCAGGAAAAAAGAAGATTCAGAAAATACATTCACAACTATATGATACACTAGACATAATGATGATTTCACTAACTTTCGTAACTAAGTCCTCCACTCATAATTAACGGAAGAAAACCAGTGAAAAAAATGAATTTCTAAACGACGAGTTAAAAATCCATAAATGTCACTGTCGCTCATGTTCTATTGAAGGCAAGTCTCTTCAGAAATCCATTATCCTGTACTAGCCAGATTTTTCCCGGAATTGACCTGAAATCAAATGGGAAACTAGTGCTAGTCGCTGATTTAAAAACTGAATGGAAAAAAAATGAAGAAATTAGCAATGAAATTTAAAATCGAATTAAAAACCACTAACTTGGTGCGGCAAAAGCGGATAAAAATCTGGAATTATTTTCCCTCTAAAAAAGCAACAGAATTTCCAACCTAACAAAAATTAACGCAAAACTAAAAGGAAACTGCTCTTAGAATTAATTGAAAATTTGAGAGAGGTTAGAACTGATTAATGGAAATTGATGGAATCAATACATGATCAAGGAAGTAATAAATCACAAAATGCCGAAAATCGTTGTCAGAAATAATTTAAAACTAACCGATTTAATTTTGGACTGTGCAGATAATCAAAAGTAATTTGATTTAAATTCAAATAAGCTCATTAAATTTAAGTAAATAACTCAGAGGGAAAAAAAATACGAAAGCATTTTTAAATGCAATGGGAACAAACAGATAGCTCCCAACATATCATTTTCACTCATTAATCCATATTACCGGTTTTTGCCTCCAACATATCACTTTCACTCATTAATCCGGCATATTGCCGGTTTTTGCCATTGTGAATTACTTGCTGGAAAATGATATTAAAGTAATTTTAAATCGAACAGGAAGAAGATATTTGAATTTGTTTTAAAAAAATCAAGAAATTCTCAGTGTCCCTTCTTGCAACTTTTCCACCCAATCTTAACTCACTCATCAAGGTTCTAGCCTTATGCTTTCCGATTTCCGGGATCCCACGAATTCCGGTTCGTCATAGCCAACCACCACTCGACAACTGAACTTCAGTTAATCAACCAAACCTTGAGCCTGATTTAACTGTTCAGAATGGCGATGGAAATAGTGTGCAATATGCTATAGGTACAGATAGCAAAAAATTGTGGAAATAGTATGCTAGCATTGCTGTCCATCTTTATTTCTCTGTCTATCTCTATTAAGCGATAGTGTAATCATTAAATTGACGAATTGCTATGACACTTGCGACAATTACGGCAACTTATTATTGAGTATGACAGAATAGTCCATTTAAAGTCTAACAATTTAGAGCTATAAAGAGAAATGATGAAATTCGTTTGATTCTCTTCGTTATCTTTTGTGTTCCATGTATCTTTCCGAAGATCCTCATCATGACTGTTATAATGTATTACATATCTTTTCGTGTAAACTACATATCTTTTCCTCCTCTTCTTCGTTTGCTTATTTCTCGATCTACCATCTTACTGATCCATAAGTTTTCCACGCTTTAAAATTACACTACCCCATTTCTTTGACCGTCTGATCCATCACTCTCATAAAGATGGATCCTCTTATATTTCCTCTCATCGCTTATCTCTTTCGCATAATAGCAAGAGAAAAAGTAGCGAAAACGACAGTCATTTGAGACCACCCCTTTTAGCTAATTGAGCACAAACCGATAGCCGGATGGCCTGAGTGAAAACTGTACGTCCCAGTGGTGCAAATTAAAGATATGGCGGAAATGTCGTGGAGATCACCGTAATCCATCCAATAGTATATTCTAAAGAAGAAGAAATTGTGTGAGGAAGGGGTGTTTATGCTACACACACACCCACACACACGCACACCCATACACACACACACACCCACACACGCACACCCATACACACACACACACACACACACACACACACACACATA